CTTTTATCTGTCATCATGTTTGTCGGCCTGGTAGTGAAAATTTTTGTCTTCTTTATATTGAGATGTCATAGATATTGAAGGCTGTAGTCCTTAATATTTTACAGCAAGCTCTCCAGATCCTCCTCATTTTCACCAAGAAAGGTTGTATCATTTGCCTAACACAGGTTGTTGATGAGCCTTCCTCCGATCCTGATGTTATACTCTTTATATATCCAGCTGTAAAAAGAGCAAGGGCCGTGTGGCTATGGCTATGTCTGACCCTTATCAGCTTCACAAAGGGGAACTGTCCCTGTTAACAGTATCAGTAAAACAAAGCCAATTTCTATGAGGTCAGACATGTCCGCCATGCTCCCATACCTCTTTCTGTTTATCTCAAAATAAATCTTACTGCTTTTCCGGATTCAGAATCCAGTGTAATAATTCACAGACCATACAGAACCATGTTAGGGAAGTCAAAGTATTATAATCCAAGTTATGACAGAATACAGTCAGGATGGCTTCCAAAATGTGCTCACAGGCACCTCAGTAGCTTTAGGTCAGTGTTACAAAGTTCTCAGTTCTGCCAATATTGGCTCCCAGTCCCGCCCCCCAAGTCTTATCCAGTGTTACAAAGTTCTTAGTCCTATATATTAATTGCCCCTCAAATCCTAGTTGTCCAGCAAACTTAAGCAAAGGCTCTTAGCTTCATTTCCAATGATGTAACAGTCCCAACATCCCATCTCACTCAGATCTCTAGATTGACCATAGGTGCTCTTTTCATGATGATGAAGTTTCTTCACTGGTGGTGGTGGGGAGGTCTTGAAGGGCATCCTACATTCTCTTGCTGCTCCCCCACTGGGGCAGAGAAGGTCTAATATTGCTGCTAGATTATTGAGACTGGCCAATCCCTTTGTGGAATGGTGAAATAGCTAATCCCTTTGTGAGTAGGCATATGTGTTTTATTCACATGGTCCTGCCCATCTACGTGCTCAGCATCCAGTTTAAATAGGCATGGAGAAACAATACAGCCCTGCTGTACACCTTTCTTGATTTTAAACCATGCAGTGTTCCCTTGCTCTATTCAGACAGCAGCTTCTTGGTCTAAGTATAACTTTTGTATGAGCACATTTAAGTGTTCTAAGATTCTAGTCCTTTTAATGTTAAAAGTAATTTGTTATGATCCACATGAAATGCCTTTGCATAGTCAATAAAACATAGACAGCCTTGTATTTTGTGGTTTCAATCAGGATCCATCCGACATCACCCTGAAGTCCTTGGTGCCATTGTCTCTTTTAAGTCTATCTTGTATTTCTAACCGTTTTCTGCTTATGTTACTTTTTTAAGCTGTTTTTAAATAATCTTCAGCAGGATTTTATTTACATGTAATATTAATTATATTGTTCAATAGTTGGCTACATTTTGTTGGTTCACTCTGTTTGGCAATGGGAATAAAAATGGATTTCTTCTAGTCAATTGGGCATGTAGCTCTTTTTCAAATTTCTTAGTATAGACTGATGAGCACATCCAGGGCTGCATCTGTTTGTTGAAACACATCAGCTGGTATTTTACCAATTCTTGGGACCTTATTTTTTGCCAATGCCTTCAGTACAGCTTAAATTTCATCTTTCATCACCTTTGGTTACTGATTATATGCTACTTTCTGAAATGCTTGTCTGTTGGCCAATTGTTTTTGGTACAGTGACTCTGTGCTTTCTCGCCATCTTTTTTGATTCTTGGATCATTCAAGATGTTGCCCATACATAGTGTCTTTCAATTGCAACTTAAGGCTTGAATTTAGGTCTCTTATCCTCTGCTTCTAGGTGGTATACTACTGGTCTGTGCGTTGCTGTACAGAGATAACTCATAGTTGCTGTGATGCTGAAGCCTGTGACAGTGATGTGCCAATCATGGTAATGGGCACCCATGGTGGACAGTGTTGGCTGGAGCTTCCTGACTAAATCAAGCCTGGAAGCAGGAGCGGCATCCACTTCCAAAATGGCTTGCCTCCGAACACTCTATGTACGAACAGTGCTCAGGCTGTTCGTTCATAGGGTCGCTATCAGTCGTCTACGACTCGACGGCATTAAACAACAACAACATTCTCTGCTTTAGAAATGCTGAGTTCTTCCCCTTTTATTTTCTAGCTCTTTGCACATTTTATTATAATACTTTGTCTTTCTTTTCTCAATCTTCTGTTCAGCTCTTCACTATTTTTATCTCTTTGTTTTGGCTACTCAGTATTCCATAGCAATATTCAGAACCTCTTCTGACATCCATTTTGGTCTTTTTTTTCTCCCCTTTCCAATAACCTTCTGCTTCCTTCCTAGATGATACCCTTCTTGTCACCCTATGGCTCATCCGCTCTTCTATCAGTAGTGTTCACTGCCTCAAACCTATTCTTTTATTTTTTTTCTGTACCAAACCTATTCTTGAGATGGTATTTAAATTCAGATGGAAAGACTCTAGGTCATATATTAGTTCTTCTGGTCTTGCTCTGATATTATTCAGCTTTAGTATGAAGTGGGTAATGAGTAATTGATTATACCACAGTCAGCACCTGACCTGGTTTTGACTGATAATGAGCTTCTCCAATGATTATTTTCACATATTTATTCTTAGCAACTCAGGAAGATAAGACCTAGTAATCAAGTACTATAAAATTATAGCATAGAAAACCAAAAAAACCACTATACTTTGTCATACTGGGTCACCAAAGTGTACAGGAATAATATCTTCTTAAGTTACTAATACTAAACAAAACATGAATGATTCAAAAATACCTTAACTTTCAAAACCAGGTCCCTGTCTATCTCTAGTCACATTTCCTGCCATTCTCTTTCTAGCTCACTTCGTGACAGTCAAGTAGTTATTCTTGCTGTTTCAATCTTTACATGGTTTTCTCATTGATAACCATACTTGTGTCGTTCAGGCTTCAGCTCAGCTGTTTCAATCTGAGAAACTTTCCCTGTCAATTCAAAACTGTAGTAAACTAAACCCACATCCATTGTCACTGAGTTAGAGTCACTTCATCGGACAAGGATTTCTAAAGACAGTAATCCTTAAAGAAGTAGTCTGTGAGTCTTCTTTCTGTGGAACCACTGGTGGGCTTTTATACTTGGCCTTCTGGTAAGTATCTAAACTGCTTAATCACTGCACCACCAAGTCTCCTTCATAAATAGAAGCTTCACTTCTAATACTTCACTCCTAGTATTTTACTTTATTCTTTTTGGCAGCTTCTTGTTCTTCCCTCAAAATAACAATGACTTTCTTATTTCCTGAAGTTCTTATTTTAAATTTCTGAGGTTTTTCTGTTCAAAAAATTCCAGTCTAGCTGTAGTATGTTATTTTGTTTCCTCTCCTCCTTTTATGATGGTTATGTGCCTTAAGTATTTAATTATTTGGCACATGATCTCAGGCCACATATTCTAAAATTATTTGCCACTCTGCTGGGAAATAATTTTGAAAGGATCAGAGTCCATTCCACATTCATCCTGTGATTTTTAATAGATGAGAGCATTAAAACCAAGAATTTAGCACTATAGTACAGTCTGAATATCATCTATTCTATAAGTTTTGGCCTAACTGAGATATGAGATTTTTTTTTAAAAGGAAAGAAGAGTATTCTACTTGAAATCTATAATAGTCTTTTGTTGTTGTCAATATTTTTCCCTTCAGTGATTTAGTCTAAAGACTTTAAAATATTTGAGTTTCACTATCAAGCCTAGTAGTAGAAGAAAAAGCGTTAAATTCATGAATTATGCTATGATTTCTACTTCTGTTTCTTAAGTGAATTCTTTTCCATGTTTCCTCAGTGGATGAAAACAGAGGTTAAACAACCATATACCTTATTTTTTTAAGTTGAGATCATATTTTAAACCTTAAAAAAGTTACCCAGAGTCACAAAGCAAATTGTAATTACTCTCACAATTCATTACTCTTTATTCAAACTACTAAAATAATGGCCAATTTAAGTTAATTTAGTTTTCCATTTAAGTAGAGCTTATGAGTACTGAGAAGTTTTAAAAAGAATAATACTGATTTAATTTCCGTTTTTAGAATCCTTTTTAAGAATAATAATGGCTTACTTCATCCAGTAGTTTTAAAATTTCAAGGTTTTAGTAAATTACTATTTTAATGTACTGTATATCATTCTGAAGACTGAGAGGCACCTGTTCCAGGCAATGGTCTTTTCAGTTGCTTGCTATGCATCTGAGGGCTGTTGCATGAGTAAGGATGACAGAAGAAGAATCAATACCTTTGAGTTGTAGTGCTAGAGAGGACTTGGCATGGACTACTAAGACAAGAAACCGCTCTGACCTGGAGAGGATGAAACCATGTTGCTTCTTGGAGGCAAGGATTTTGAAGCTCTGTCTCACATGCTTTGGGCATGTTGTCAGGAGGGACCAATATTTAAAGAAGGGCATGCTTGGAAGGGTAGAGGGTCAGTGCAAGAGAGGAAGACTTTGGATAAAATAAGTGGATGCATTGGGTTAATGTGTATCAGAGGTGCTGAAGTTGGCTCAGGATAGAACAAGGCTCATGTTGCAGAGCCATTGTTCCTGGGGTTATTGTGAGTTGTCAACTAGATGGCACATAACAACAACAGTGTATAAATAATCTGATTCTTAATTTATTCTTTTAGTTATTAATTATTCTTAATAATTTCAAGTACTTATTGATAGTTGTGACTCCAACTTGTAATTTTCTCTTCTCTAAATTTATAACCTTGCTTTTGTTTTAAAAGTTAGTATTTGGTTAGGTAATTTTTTTAAAAAAAAGTACTTCAATATATTGCTAAAAAATATATATATATTGCTTAGCTTTGAAAATATAATGGAAAAATTATATTTAATATATTTAAATTATGACATATATGTTAATGAGAAAGAACACTAATATGGATATGTAATCACACATTTAAAATTATTTGTCTTTAGCAGTTGTCTCATTGAAAGTATCCTTTTTATACCATTATAAAATGGGATTTTTTTCAAATTTCCATATTTCTGTTTAAATTACAGTATGGCCTCCAATTGCATTGACTGTGTTTTTAGTGGCTGTTGCAACACTGTGTAAAGAACAAGGAATAACAGTTGTGGGAATTTGCTGTGTGTATGAAGTATTTATTGCCCAAGGGGTAAGGAGAAACTTTTGTTTACTTTTTCTTTCTTCTAGTTGAATCAGATCATTTTCTAAATCTATCTTTAGAATTCATTTTCTCTATGAATATTGATTGGTTTGCAGAATTCAATAGAAAGTCATACCAGAATTTTTCATAGAATGAGCAAGTTTTGTCTGAGACTCACTAAAACTCTTTCTTTAAAGATAACTTCATTTTAATTCAATGTTAGATAAGGCTGTTTCACTCCATTATATACTACTAGTTTCAGAAATTGTTCCATATTGATTTTATTATTTTAGATCATTTGTGTCCAACCTTATATAGGTTTCCCTTGCTCTCCAGAGTTAAATATTCCTCTGAAACTCTTGTAAATTGCAGTGATCTAAAACATAGCAGCAGTTAACACTAACTTTTATGGTAATGAGTTTTAAAGTGTTCCTATATCCAAAAGTAACCTTCCAATTCATGATGTTATTTTTAAGTTCCTTCAGGTCAGAACCACCATTGCTAACCCTGCAGTGGGTTTTCAGAGGCTGTAAATAGCACAGGAGGTGTTTACTCAACTTTCTCCTGCATAGCAACTAATGGATTTGTACTGCTTGCCTTTGGGTTGGTCATTTTTGTTTTGTTTGTTGTGTACTGTTGAGTCAGAACCAACCCATAGCTGACCCTCTGATGGATTTTTCAGAGCCAGTTAATCTCACAGGAAGAGACTGCCCATTTTTCTCCTGCAAAACACCTGGTGGACTTAAACTGCATGTCTTTGGGCTTGCAGTGCAGCTGCTTACCACTAGGCCATCAGAGCTCTCCTAAGCCACTAACATAATAAAAGCCCGAAAGGTCATTGATTTGGATCCACCAATGCTAGAAGGCTATACTGTCTCCTGTCATAAAGATTTCTAGCCTAGGCACTGTGATGGAGGGTCTCTGTGAATAAAATCTACAGAAGAGACAGTGAGCTAGAAGGAGGAATGAGATGATGAATATGCAGCCTATATAAAGTAGAAATAATGTACATACAGTGTAGTTCTCAGAAAGGAGCTTACCAACACAACTCACTGCTCAAAGCACATACTGCCTCTTTAAGAGCTGGCTGCAAGTAAACACTAATTGTTAGCTTGGCTTTTTTTGCTAAAACTAGAAATCTTCTTGATGTCTTTCAGTCAGCACAAACATGTGCTAATGTAGATTTTTTTGAAAGCAAGAGATACTTACATTTGGAAAGTACTCTATAGTGAAAATGTGGTAATTCATTTTTTAAAACTTTTTTTCCCCCCAGTACACTCTGCCATTACTGTGTTCTACTGCTGGACAGTTTCTCCGTGGGAAGAGTAGTATTCCGTATTCTCTGCTGCAAACACTAATAAAGCTTATTGTCCTGATGTTTAGTACACTTTTACTTGTTGTAATCAGAGTTCAAGTTATTCAATCCCAGCTTCCTGTATTCACTAGGTATGACATTTTGATTCTTTTATTTTTCTTCCTTCTTTGTTTATTATTGTGCTATTTAAGTGATTGTAAATGAGAAGAATAGAAATCCCAAAACACTTGATTGTCCTCATGTGAAACCTCTACTTAGACAAGGAAACACTGTGTTTCAAAGCAAGGATCAGGAATTTGTTTTTTCTCCATATCTTTTCAATTTATGTGAGGAATGAATCATTCAAGAAGTTGAACTTTATGAAAAAGAATATGGCATCAAGATTGTAGGAAGACTTACCAACAACCTGCATTATGTAAATGACACAGCCTTGCTTGATGAAACTGAGAAGGACTTGAAGCATTTGTTGCAGAAGGTGGAGGACTGCAGTGTTCAATATAGATTATATCTCAACATCAAGAAAACAAAAGATTCTCATCACCAGACCAATTGGCAGCATCATGATAGATGGAGAAGAAATTGAGGTGGTTAACATCTTCTTTTTTCTCAAGGCTACTATCAGTACTTTGGGACCAGAAACAGGAAATTAAACCATAAGTTGCTTTGAAAACATCTGCTTTCAGGTGTCTCTGCAGAGTGCTAAGGAGCAATGATCTTGGTCTAGAGACTAAGGTGTGCCTGATTGATCCAAGCCAAGGTCTTGTCAGTTGCTTGCTGTGCATGTCCGAGCTGGACAGACAGTGGCTAAAGATAACAGAAGAAGAATCTTGAGTTGTGGTTCTGGAGTACAGTATAGTACCTACCATGGACTGCCATGAGAACAAACTTCAAAGGGTTAAACAAGGTTGTTTCTTAGAGGCAAAGATTGTGGATCTCTGTCTCACATATTTTTCACATGTTGCCAGGAGAAAGGGACAGCATGCTTGAAAGGGTGAAGCAGGAACAGCATAGGAGAGGAAGATCCTGGGTGAGATGAATTGACACAGTTAATATGGCAATGAGGGTATGTCAGAGACAGTAAGATAGTTTCAAGATAGGACAGGGTTCAGAGCTTGTGTTACTACTGGATGGCACATAACAACAGATGTTCTATAGTCTTTGATTTATCCTGAGATTTTAAAACAGCTCTATTGATCTTTAATTTACATATAAGCCTGTGTCTATTTAAAATCTACAAATTAATGTTTTCTTATGTATTTACAGCCATGAAACTATTATCACAGACAAGATAATGACCCTGTTACTAATATCCCCTAGACTAGTTGATAGACTTAAGTCTTCCATGCCTTTTATGATTTTTGCCTTATGCTAGTTATTGAGAGAGGAATGATGACATTTTTACTATAAATAAGATTTGTATATTCTCTCCTTCATATGTTTTAAGTTTTATCAATGTATAAATATTTAGAGTAGTTAGGTCCTCTTGATATCTTTGCCCTTTTTTTAAATTTTATTAATTTTAATGAACATTTAAAGAGATTTTGGATTTCCATTCATTCATTGTTGCACTATTTTCTCTACCCGCCCCAATTCGTTCCTCTTTTTTTCCCCCCTTGAAAGTCTGTTTTAATGGTCCCATTGCACAGTGTTTGTCAAAGCCAGTTCTGATTAATCTCCTTTGTCAGTGTGTCCTTTGCCATTCCCTATCACTCCTCCCTGAGAGAGACTTCACCCTGATTCATAAGGAAAAGGGGATGACGTATTCTCTTAGCTAATACCTGCTGAAAAGGGACGCTGTAGGTTTCAGGGTGAAGATCTTCTCTTACTACTCTAAAGGGCCCCTTTGCCATTTTTGAAGTACATTTCTTTTGCTTGATAAGAATCTATACTTGAAATTTGCTTTATACTCTGTTAACATAGCCACTCATACTTTTTTAGTATTTTATGGTTTACCTGTTTTTATTCCTTTACTTGTAATTTACTTGTATCTGTTGTATTTATTTTATTTGTATTTCCTTTCATCTCTTTAATTGGACAGTCTGTCTAAAGCCATTCTGTTTAATTCATCAAATTACACCAAAATATTTTAGCTGGCTCACTTTTTCTTTGCTAAATGACAAATTCATATTCTTTCCCCCCTAATTTTTTGAAAGAGACATAATACATTTTGACAAGTCAATATTTTTTACTTACACAAATTAGTCATATCAGCTACACTGATCGTGTTAGGCAACCCTCACCAATAATCATTGCCAGATTTTCCATTACCCTAAACAGAAACTGCTTCCTAAATAATGATTCTACCGTTCCTTCTTCCTCTCACCTATGCAAACCAGTTTTCTTGTATGCATGCTTATACATCATATAGTTTTAATTTTCCTCTTTTGTTTAATAATATTTGTCTTTTAATACAAGATTTGAGACACTTACATTTAATAGGATTATTGATAGTTTCATTTAAACCTGCCATCTTATAAATTATTTTCTTCTTAGCTTCTGGGTTGTTGTTGTTGTTGTTGTT